TTAAAGATGAAAAAGTGATGCCCCATTATCAAGAGAGGCGCGCTTTTGTTCGTTTTTGCAAAGAAATTAGGCTGCACATGTCCATAAGACTTTAGAGCGCACAACAAATGTTGCTGGTTTCCTTGTTAGAAAACTTCGTTCACTTGGAAATAATTGCCTAGAGAAGCTGGTCATGCCTGGGATCATGACCAGCTTGGCCTCGCCTAATGTGGACAGGGCCTGCAGCTAAATGGGCAGTTCCAAAAGCAAAAATTCTGATCTTCGTCAGAACAACCAAGAAAATGAGGCAAGTAGGAAGGTCGAGTAAGGGCACCATCAGCAGTAGAATCTACAGTCGATAGAGTATGCTCTGAATGAGCTGTGCTTATTGAAAAAGATTGATAACTCGGTTGTCAAAAAATAAATCTATAAATCAGGAAGAAATTGGTGCAAAAGTGCAATTCCAATATGCACCATCTATGCTTGAAGTGAACGCTGGGGTCAGTGAGCGGTGAGTGAATTGCAGGTTTTGCTGCCTTCTTCTGCATGCACACGATTCTGAAGGAATTGCCCATGGGAACTTGTTGTGCTCCCTTCCGCAGTCATAAATAATCGCTATTTACACTGTACGGAGTTCCATGCATGAAATTTCAGTTTCTGTGGAAAAGAAGAGCTCTTTCTCTGTTTTTATTCTCTGTTTTTATTTCTTTAGCATGGGGGAAAGGGGAGTCAAGGGGCTCAAAATAAAGTTCTTTAGGAACCTAATTTTTTGAGGACGCTTTTCCGGAGAATTCTGTAGCACATTAGAAATCTCGTAGTCTTCAAAAATGTCTTCGCCCCTCCCCAACAAGCTTCTTTGAAGGAAGTTATTATTGCTGAAAGCTCAAAAACTCGCATGTGCTGCTCAAAAACCTATGGGAAAAAGTTCGAACGTGTGATTTTCTCGGAAAATGAACTTTGAAAAACGGTTTGGGCTTTTAGAAAGAGCAAATCCTGTACTTTCTTGCCATGAAAAAGTGCATCACAGAAATGAAAATGAAGTGAGTTATGGCCGCTGAAAGCCCAAAAACTCGCTTTTGCACGGAAAAATGTTCGAACGGGACAATTTTTTGAAAAAGGGGACAATCACTAAACTTTTTATACTGTTTTGATAGAGAAATATTTGAAGTTTCTGAAACTTTTTACAGCTTTCCAAAAGTCGCATACGAAAGATATTATGGGCCTTCAAATTGAAGGTGCGCCTTCTTAGAATTTTGGGTTTTCCACTTCTAACAGAAGTACTTTCCGGAGAGTTAGGCAATCCTTGTAGTTTTCTGAAAGCGGACCTCATGCACAGTCCAAATCTACCTGATCAGCAAAAGTATGATTTCAAAGAAGTTATGTCCTCTTCCTACATTCTTTACTTATTTTGCTTGCCGTTCTAATGTAAGTATTCTCACCGCGTGGGTGATACAACCTCCCTAGGCTGACGCCGCAACAGAGTTGCGCCCGAAAGAATTGTAGGTCTTCTTGCGTATTCTATGTGGGTTTGCTTTAATCTTACATCTTAACGAGATACTCTTCTATACGCTGTTTTGATCGTAAATGGGAAAGGGGTGTGAGTGGCATCATCAATAAGAGTAGTATTAGGTTGGAAAGAAAGTTTTCAAAACTCAGTTCGTGCTGTTTCTAGATTTCTTACAAATCCTCTGGAATGTTCCATGGCGCATATATTAAAAGAGCGTACATTGCTGGGTGCGGTGCCCTAGTCAGCATTTCCAATAGCTTGCATCGCAAGCCAAGTTTAACGGCGAGCTCATCCAAGCACTCTTCCTGTGCGGCTGGAGAGATCGGCTGGCGAGAGGCGCCCAAAATCAGTCCAGTAATAAAAATAGGCCACGGTCTCTCAAGTGGCGCCTTCATTATGACTAAGACGCAACGCAGCGGAGACTTCGCCGCTTTTGAAGCAACGCACGACTACTGTCCATCTTGACGTCGTCCGCGCTGTAATCGAGGATGTTTCGAAGCAATCGTCCTACTGTTTGTGTCATGCGACCTGAATGCTTCCACATGTGAGTGCCTTCACACGCATGTCCTTCAAGCTCTCTCGGAATTAGACAAATCTTGGAAATGTGCAGTAGGTACCACAAGATTTCACTGGGTGGGCATCTTCACATTTATCACTCGTCGCACAGCAGCAACCGTGACGTGGCATGTACAAGTTCACCGCCTGCTTCAACCACACGCGGAACCAGCAGCGTCTTGGAGGGGGAACTGGAGTTTCAATGACCTGACAACTATGGGGGCATGTGATGCTGTCATGTCTTGAAATTTTGACTTAGTTTCCATACGCGTTGTTCTGTCTGCAGTATAGGCGATGGCAAGTGCTACCAATGCTATTTGCTCGAAAACGATTCATTCAAGCCTCACGGAATACAGTGACAATGTCAATCTGCTTCAGGCAACGCGGGTCGGCACGGTTTACGGTCTCAAGCCGAAAGGGCCTCAAGCTAAGGGTTGGACGCGCGCTGCAGCTCTGCCATATTCGTCGCAAACCTATCCATGCACTTCTTCCGTCTTTCCTGTTCGCTCGCTAATTACCTGGAGAAAAAAAGCTCGACGAATAGAAGGAGCGCGAATTCGACTTCCGAAAGATTGTTCACAAAATGATTCGATAATTTCTGAAAAATGTGTTTTCGATGCAGGATATGTGTGAATTGAAGACTCTTTTTTCTTATAAAACTTTACTGATAACGTTTCGGGCATAAGCCCTTCTTCAGATCAACTGAAAAACATTGCACATACAATTCAACACAACAAACATTGTTAAACAAGTGCATCCTACCTATGCCGTCCTACAGTAAAGGAGGGGGAGAGGGGAGGACGGGATGGTTGAGAACGGAAGAATGAGGGAGGTATGCTACGTGGGCTTTTGAATGGGTTGAGGGAAGGGAATGATCTTCTCATAGTCACGAAGACTTCCCTCTCGCACGTCGCACAGCCTCACATTTCTATAAGTCTCATTGCCATCTTCATTTCCTCCTTGTTGTTGATCGGTGGTGCACATTGCTTTATTTCCAATGCTTCCCTTATCTTTCGCTCGACCGGATCAACTATATTCCTGAAGAGAATGACAACACGAAGTTCCGGTGGCCTTTCTTGTGCGTGTCGAAGTGTGCGGTGTTTTGAGAATGGACTCTCTGGGTAGTTTTGAGGACTACGCAGGGCTCTTATGTGCTCGTCCATTCTCTTGTAGAGTGGCCTTCCCGTTTCTCCAATGTAACAATCTCCGCAACCGAGGCACTCTACCTTATACACAACACACCTCATCTGGCACACCTTCTGCTCCCCACAGATCGTGCAGTTTGTTCGTTCGCACCGATTCTTCATATGGACGTGATGATGTCAGAATGCGTCGTAGCGAAGGTGGTGGTCGGAAGATCAAGTTTATTGGGAGTCCTGATCTTCTTACAACGCGGTCTATGTCCATAGCGAACTCATCGGTGATAAAGGGTAGTAAGAGAGGGGTGCCAGATGGTGATCGACACGGTTTCCAAGTACGGTGTTGTCCTCTTTTATAACCGTTTTGCCGCAATATTTCATCCACTTCGGTCATCACCTCTTGAACGTTCACGGAAGTCAGGTTACATGATGTCGAGATCATGTGATGAACGACATTCAGTTTCATGTGGAGAGGGTGGCAGCTACGGGCGTGTATCAAGATGTTACGAGATGCCCCTTTCTTATACCACATTGCACTGATTTGACCGTCCATGATTCTGACTTTCGTGTTTAAAAATGGTAGAAATCCGTCTGGCGAAGGTTCTTCCGATGTCAGTTGTATCGACTCATGCGCTGAATTCAACTTAGAAAACGTCTCTCGCAAAGCAGCTCTTGTTTTGCCGACGATAAAGATGTCATCGATGTATCGTCCAAAATATAATATTCCTGATGACAGAGCTTGTCGTTCAAGGCTATCCATGAACACAATCGCGAGCAACGGAGCCAGTCTGCTTCCCATAGCGAGTCCTCGTTTCTGCTTATAAAATCGATTCCGGAAACGGAATATATTCACTTCCACCACTGTCCGTAGAAGCTCTTCCATGTCGTTGATATTGAGGTCAAAAAGCTGAAGTTCTTGATGATGTAGGCGTAAAAGACGAATGCAAGACTCCACAGCTCTTTGCGTATCAACGTTCGTGTATAGAGCTACAACATCAAAACTTTGGTATACCAGTCGTGGTTTGTTGTTGAAATTACACTGCCTCAGTTGCTCCAGGAATTGTCTTACATTCTTGAGATGGGAAGAGACATGTTGAAGCAGTGGGCAGAGGATCCGTTGTAAGAACCAGCTGATTCTGTCTGTCGGTCCGCCACAGGATGCAACTATTGGCCTTGTCTTGATGGACGTAGTGTCCACAGTACCATCGAGCTCGCTCCGAACCAACTTATGGGTCTTGACCAATTGATAATAAGTTGGTGTGCTTGTGTGCTTCGGCATCAATTGGGCCAAAATGTTCTTTTCAAGCTTTGGACCAAGTATCCTTGTGACAACTTCTTCAAGATTCTTGCACTCTCGTTTATAATGTTC